TAACAACGATATGACTCAAAACATTGGCACTATCTTTAAGTTAAAAAAATGCATTAACAAAGCAGTGCGCACACATTTCCTAACACATTAGTCTCGAAACTAATCGAAAGCACATATCTATGAAATAAATATATGAGTGTAAATTTACTTTGAATTTGCACTTTTAAAACAAGTGTTTAGTACTTTGCGATTGATATAGTAAATCTACAACACTTCCCAAAATGTGGAAGGCATTAAAATGAACTTCGCGCGTATATACTTGGAGGATAAGAATGGATAAGGCTTAGCCTGGCCTGAAGGCAAAGGGACAAATACAGGGGCAAAACTTGTAGTGCTTTGGTTATGTGACTATCTGACATTCGGCGGTCACTTTAAGAGTTATCTGGCTATGTGTGTTGGCTAGACGTCGTCTAATCACCTTATTTTCTTAGGAATACACTATCCAGCTCTATTTATTGACTCCTTTCATCCAGTGGGAAGCCTTGTGACTCTGAAACACGAGTATCAAAGTCACTGCCTGCAATGCTTAGTTTATGACTACTCGGCGTTTAACGGTGACTTTTGGGCTTGTCTGGCCCTTGTACTCGTAAGCTGACCTTCAGTCCATGCTCAGGCCTATTTTCTCTGTTTTCCACTGAATATATGCATCCAAAATCACTTATTGCTTTCTTCCCCCTATGGGAAGTCTCGGGACGCTACGTTGCCATATATCGAGTGATCACATATAGAAAGATGAGAGAAAGAATGTATTACTTTATTCCTCTTCTCTTTTAAACAAGCTTCATGCTCCTCTTTTCCTGCCCTCTGCAACGCAAGCCACCCTCGTCAGTTATCAACGACCATGAGTAAGTAACTTTAATTGGGTCGACATTTGTCTTAAGTCTGAGTGCAAGAATCCTAGCAGGCGATGTTGAATAACCGTCAATGGTCGTCAATTCTAGGTGTTTGGAAGTCGATTCTTAAAAACAACTGTACAGGGAAAGTGGAGTCAAATGGAATCCCGTATGGAAATGAAAACCGTGTAGTGCAATCCACGATATCTGCACGCGAATATTTGCAAGACGAAATTTTTCTAGAAAGTTTTTGGAGGTGTCCGATCAGTTATGAACAGCTTGGTTACAGAATATACACAAGCGGTGGAGCTATGCAAAGGAGAGGAAAAAGATAAGTCTTGGTTCATCCCAAATATCAGCCTAAAAGTACAAGAGCAAAGTGGATATTGAGGCTACCGGCAAATATCAGGTGGTCATATATGTCTATTATATTCTAGCTTGTTTAAGTGGACTTTTATAGGTGAGAGGTGAGGGCCAATTGGGAGCGTGGATCATGTGCGTGAAGTCGGCGAGGAGTCTCCCTCTGCGTGATGTATCTTACCCACCTCATCTTTATCCCATTCCACATCCTTGCTAACAGCGATGCCTAATAAATCGTCTGCAACCAACTTTCTCTTAAAGTCTGAGAACCTGGGACCAGAGGTTAGACAGGCAGTAACTGCAATATAAACAACGTGTTACAGATACAAAGAATCATGGCTTAACCAAATTCACTATCTTTACCTGTAGGCATATTGCTAACAAACATTTTTTGCATTTCATTTTTTAAGGTTTTTTTCGGCACTTGATTTGCAAAACATGAAACTGTGAGTTAATGCAGGTTATTCCCTTTAAAATTCAGGTTTATTATTTGTCATGCCAGAGTCTGCGCGGCGACCTTGAATTCGTGTTCGCTCCGTTTAGGTATGGCTATCTTCAATAGGCGTGCTCTATTTTCATTGAACGTAGTCTCTCGGGTTTTTGCTGATGTGCAGAGGTGTCCGTATCGGTTAACCTACTTGCCGAGCCGATTCGCTGGTCATTCTCATTGGCAGAACGTTAGACACACGAAGGAGGCTAAAGATAAGGAGCGTGCGCGCATTACGTCAAATTTTCTTTTACAAATCGATGCCGCTATCAAACGTAATATGCTTGCATTTTTACTCCCGTGTAGATAGTGGGGGCGTTAGAGACCCTAAACTTAACAATCGGCTCGCCTCTGTTATTGCTGACGCAAAATCTAAAAACGTGCCAATGGATACCATAAACAGGCGGCTCTCCGCTCAGGATATAGTCGATCCTTACATTATAGAAATCCAAGCACCTGGTGGTATTTTTGCCCTTATTGAAACACGTTTTAAGTCCGTGAAAAGTGCACGTGACAAAGTGCAAGGCATTGCCAAAAAGTATGGGTACGTCGGTATATTTGCTTGCACAGAAACAGTTTCAAGGTATCGAAGTCGACTCCTGGCTCAATCACCAATGAATTTTTTGAGCATATAGGTATTGTTTCTGCTGCACCTCAAAAATTCCTTGAAAATATCGACATGGCAACCGAGTTAGCTATCAATTGTGGAGCCCATGACGTGGCTGAGGCGGACATTGGTGCTGGCGTCAAGGGATTTGAGGTAACTTTCACTGATATTGTATAGTCACTTATAACACGCTTATCCTCATTTCCTTGTCTCAGTATGGAGTTCCTTCTTAGTTGGATGATCCTGTTCTCTCTCAGACAGTTTCGTTATGCTAATTTTTCGCGATTACCTACCTTGTCTGTGGAGTTTGCATTTGTATTCAGTAACATGTGCTGGATTAGAATTTGTGTTTGCTAGTGGTTTGCTGACTTTTGAACGCAGAATATGTCCCTTTGGTTTGCAGATTTCTAAGCTAACCTCAAATTTAATGCTCTGAAGTGAAGTGTTGTCATTTACTCAAGAATAAAGAGTAGCATATTTATTGTATTTTAGTTCCATTGTGATGTGAATGATGTCAACAATGTGCGTCTAAATTTGGAATCTCACGGCGTCAACGTCTACGAGTCGTATTGCCCTTATTTGGCAATTCGCAAAGTTTCCGTCTCTTCCACAGACCTTAAACTTATGAATGAAATGTATGATCGGATTCGTGGTGCATTTGACTACGTTGATAACTTTTATGACAACTGTGAGGAGACTGAGTGATCGCTTATGGTCAATATTTGTATACTTTTCCAAGATTGGGTCAATATTGGATCCGTCTCTATTGCTTATTAGTAAGATCACAGTGATATTTGCGTGTTTTAACAACGGAGTAATTTTTTTAAACCCCCTTCCTAAGTCTGTTCTCAAATGTGATACATTTTTGAGATGAACTAGCTGGGACGTCGTGCATATGATTTTTACTACGTCACGATGCACCACTGTATGCTGAGGGTTATGCTTCTTATGCGTCAACTCAGGTCTCTGACTTTGGTATAATTAATCCGTTTGCTAAATGAGGAGAATTGTCATATTCTCACTTAGGCTGATATGTAATCTGGTTCGAACTAATTTAGGCTTATTAAATCATGGGAATTAATTAATACCATTAGTTTCTACTTATCAACGATGTTGGACGACGATTGTTTACATTTCGGAAGTCAGGTGTGTGTGGCGATTCTTCTGCCTATTTTTCATAGCGGTTGTGCATTGTCCTTCCACACCTTTGCGATCACATCAGGGTTGAAATTGGAAGTGTTCTGAGATTCGATATAAAGGGGAGGAGTCGTGAGTGATACGCTTGCATTTCTATCAACTTTTGATCAAGATTGGGATACGGTGTCATCAAGCTGCGAACCATTGTTCGGTGCAAACTGCTGAATTGGAACAAATGAAGTTGATACAATTATTGAGTAATAGAAAAGTAAAGCATCAAAATGTCGGGTAAGTAATGTCAATTTGCTCTCCAACTTTTACGATCGCGATATCATTCGTCTTCGAAAGACGCGTACTACTATTGAGTCATTGCAAAACTGGATGAAAGGTTATTTAAAATACGCAATTTTGGTGCGTTTCGATTCCCAAAATATGCGTTAATAAGGCTGATGCACATTTATACCATTATGGAAACAGTTTTAGGT